CTGGAGGGACGCGCGCTGCTCTCGCTGGAGGGGCGCGCGCTGGAGGGAGGCGGGACTCATTACCGGGTTCTTTCAGCTGCTTCACGTTTAAGCTGCGGTGAGCTGCCGAAAGCTGAGACGCGGTGGGTGACGGCTGCCCGCGTTTGATTCGTTGAGACGGGTGTCGTTTCTTTTGAGAGAGAAGGACCTCCACCCGAACCAGCCTGCGGACCACATTTATACCGATGTGAGATGGTTAGCGCCGGCAGCTGTGTGTGTGCGTCAGCATCAACGCAGCGCCGTTTGGATGGAGGCTGTTCATTTTAGTGATCGACTCGTCATGTCTAGAGCGGCGGTGAGTTAAAAACCTTATTTAAGGACACCGGCTCATGTGGAGGCTGTTCCATCCCACGAGTGCGAGTTGACACCGCTTGAGTGAGGATCGTGCAGTTCTAGTTGGTAACGAGTTATTTTCGCTTACCGTTGTGCCGTGATCGACTCGTCATGTCTAGAGCGACGGTGAGTTTAAAAACCTTTAATTAAGGACACCAGCTCATGTGTGGAGGCTGTTCTGTGATCGACTCGTCATGTCTTAGAGCGACGGTGAGTTTAAAGACCTTATTTAAGGACACCGGCTCGTGTGTGGGGCTGTTTCATCCCACGAGTGCGAGTTGACATCGCTTGAGTGAAAATCGTGCAGCCCGGGATTATAACGAGTTATTTTCACTTACCATCGTGCCCTGTAAGCGACTAGTAATGTCTTGGAGCGGCGGTGAGTTTAAAAAACCTTATTAAGGACACCGGCTCTTAATGTGTGCGGCCGCTGTGAGCTCATCCGGGCTTACAGACTGGCTAAAAAACAGACACTTTTATCATTAATGATGATTTATTTCAACTTTCGTGTCACTTTTACACACACCCTCCGGAGACCGTCATTTTGAGAAACTTCTCTCTCATGAGCTCTGCGATTGTTTGCCCAGAGCGCTGTCTTGCAGGCGAACTCTGGGGAAAACGCTGAGCTGCAGGTTGCTGGAGTGAAGAGGGCTGGATTCTGACGGGCGGGAACTCAGCGAGAGCCGCGGCCGTGTAAAAGTCGAAGCTTGCTCGCGACGGTCCCTCCAGCGGGACGGGGTGGGCCGCGCGGCTTGATGAGGTGGCGCACAGCCTCTGGCACCTCCTCCGACTGTTTCAATTCGCCAGCATGGTTTGAAGCTGCTCTGAACAACGCATCCGCGATGGCTTCATCAGGTCTTGTGCAGTTTCTCCGGCAGCGAGGGGAGTAACGAAGCCAGGTGGGTCGTTGGATCATCGTCATCCGCGCTGCAGTCCTCGACAGGCAAACCGTGGGAGAGGCACATATGTTGAGCTGGCGTCAGCTGCCTTACAAAGGGAGTTCTTTGTCTCCAAGGCGGGTCTGCGGCCTACAGTCCTTTGGACATGCTATATGCTAGCAGCGCACGTTGTTTGCTAACTGCGGCTGCCTGAAAATACATCGGTGGGCTCGATTGGAGAGCGTGGTCACCGTCTGGTTCGTGTTCCTCCGGAGGGACGGGACGCTGCTCCGACCTGGGCAGCTTCGCACCGGAAGCTTCCGTGAGGCTTGGCTCCAGGGGGGGTTACCGAGGAATAGCCCCGCTCGGTGAACCCCTCAACTCTGGTGATGGGAGCGGACTGGGGACCGACTCCTCCAATCTACCAGGAAAGAACCGTCTGCGGCCTCGCTTGTCGAACGTCCTGTTGGAACGCGAGGCCGTATGGATCAAGACGGTGAGCCACAGTGGAGCCCGGTGAAAAACAACCTTCCCGCCGATCATCCGAACTGGCGGGAAAAGGCGAGGGACGTAGAAAAAAGGGGTCCCTTCATGTCAGCCTCCTCCTGGGTTCCGCCGGGCAACCGTGAGGGCGCTGTCGGCCGGGAGCGGTGTGATCGCCGATGCGAAACGAGGTGGGATGGGGTGAGCATTCACTCAGCCCCCCTCCACCTACACTACGCTCCCCAGGAGGGAATGAGCAGCGGGGGCTGCAGCTGAGCACGCCTTGCCCCGGAGGAACCATCCGGTTCGCCCCGAGGGTCGGCGATAAGAGGAAAAAACACAAGATGGCGTTGTCCAGCGTGTATTGACCTGTCACTGGGAAATGTTCCCCGACGCTTACCTTGGAATAAGACTGCTGTCATCTTCTCCTCGGGGAGGAGAACTCACCGGATGACCGGAGGTCGACTGCCGGGCCAAGCATCCTTCACAAAGGTTGGTCATTTACACAATTTATCCTCTTTGTTCTTCTGACAGTGCTATATTAGCTCGCTGAAGAAAAAATGGGAGCCGAATTCCCGCTCTTAACGTAATTTATACGGACCGGGTGGGGCCCACACAGCAGGTGGGCGTGGACTAAATTTTTTCAGTGCTTATGCTCTGCATAACGGGATAAACCCATCAGCGACAGCCTTAAAGGGCGAAGCCTATATGAAATAGAACTGAATGCAATGATGTGGAGGTGCCAACATCTAATATTTTATTCAGAATAGATCACAAATCACAGATCAAAAGTTTAAACTGAGAGAATGTATCATTTTAAGGGAAAAATCTGTTGTTTCCAAATTTCATGGCGTCAACAAATCCCAAAAAAGTTGGGACAAGTCCATTTTTACCACTGTGTGGCATCCCCCCTTCTTCTTACAACACTCAACAGACGTCTGGGGACAGAGGAGACCAGTTTCTCAAGTTTAGAAATAAGAATGCTCTCCCATTCATGTCTAATACAGGCCTCTAACTGTTCAATCATCTTGGGCCTTCTTTGTCGCACCTTCCTCTTTATGATGCGCCAAATGTTCTCTATAGGTGAAAGATCTGGACTGGCCATTTCAGTACCCGGATCCTTCTCCTACGTAGCCATGATGTTGTGATTGCTGCAGAATGTGATCTGGCATTATCGTGTTGAAAAATGCAGGGTCTTCCCTGAAAGAGATGACGTCTAGATGGGAGTATATGTTGTTCTAGAACCTGAACATAGTTCTCTGCATTAATGGTGCCTTTCCAGACATGCAAGCTGCCCATGCCCCAAGCACTCATGCAACCACATACCATCAGTGATGCAGGCTTCTGAACGGAACGTTGATAACAACTTGGGCTATGCTTGTCCTCTCTGGTCCGGATGACGCAGGATCCCAGTGTTCCATAAAGAACTTCAAATTGTGACTCATCTGACCACTGAACAGTCTTCCATTTTGCCACACTCCATTTTAAATGACCCCTGGCCCAGTGCAAACGTCTGAGCTTGTGGAGCTTGCTTAGAAATGGCTTCCTCTTTGCACTGTAGAGTTTCAGCTGGCAACGGCGGATGGCACGGTGGATTGTGTTCACTGACAATGCTTTCTGGAAGTATTCCTGAGCCCATTCTGTTATTTCCTTGACAGTGGCATTCCTGTTTGAGGTGCAGTGATGTTTAAGGACCCAGAGATCATGAGCATCCAGTAGAGTTTTATGGCCTTGACCCTTACGCACAGCCCTTGTTCCAGATTCTCTGAATCTTTTGATGATATTATGCATGGTTGATGATGATAACTTAAAAGTCTTTTCTATTTTACGCTGGGTAACACCATTCTGGTATTGCTGCACTATCTTTCTGCGCAACAATGGTGGAATTGGTGATCCTCTTACCATCTTGGCTTCTGAGAGACACTGACACTCTGAGAAGCTCTTTTTATACCCAATCATGTTGTCAATTGACCTAATTAGTGTTAATTGGTCTTCCAGCTGTTCGTTATATGCTCAATTTCCCTTTTCCAGCCACTTATTGCTACTTGTCCCAACTTTTTGGGGATTTGACATTGTGAAATTTTGAATCAACAAATTTTTTCTTTAAAATGTTACATTTACTCAGATTAAACTTTTGATCTGTCATCTATGTTATATTACGAATAAAATATTGACAATTGCCATCTCCACGTCATCGCATTCAGTTTTTATTCACAATTTGTTTAGTGTCCCAACTTTTTTGGAATCCGGTTTGTATATACTTTTAAATATATACATATATACATGTATATAATAACCAGGAAAAATCACTGTGAAAAAACTGTGAAAAATCACTGTAATGCCACTTGGTTGTTGATATGTGCTGCTGACTGTCCATGATGCTGATCTCATGCTGCTGATTATTTCATGTTGCTGTGTTCATTGGTCCTCATCTGCTCACACAGACTCATGTTTGTACTACTCTTGTTTTGGTGCAGTTTTTGTACGATTAGTGCTTAGTGTATTCTCAGTCTTGTGTATTCTTAGATTAGTAAATGGTAAATGGACTGTACTTATATAGCGCCTTTCTATCTTATTTCAAGATACTCAAAGCGCTTTACACTACAATCTGTGTCCTCATTTACCCATTCATACAGCACTCTACTAGATCTCTACAAAGCTAATTGAACAAACCATTCTAATTAGACTAATCAGAGCTTTAGTTCACATTCAAACACTGATGGACACACATCAGAGGCTATGAGTGGTTCAGTGTCTTGCCTTGGGACACTTCAGCATGTGATTGCTGGTGGATTCGAACCCCCAACTTTCGCATTGGAGGACGATTGCTCTAACCACTCAGCCACAGCTGCCCCTTAGTGAATGTAGTATACTCTTAGTTCATGACTCAGATCTTACTAATGTTTTTCTTTACAATTTGTGTTTTTTGGATGTAACTGGGACCCTGTGTAAATAGTTTCATCCCACCTCATGTACCACGTGTGGTGTGTATGACAAATCTCTCTGAATCTCTGAATAATATGTGTTTATAATTGACAGTAACAGTTCAAAAAGGTTTCTTGGTAAGCAATATTGTGGACTCAGCACTTATCTCTTCATTTCACAACAAAACCTCTGAAGTACTGCGAAGAAAAAAAAACTACAAACCTTTTTCTATTTTCTGAAAGTTTTATCAAACTTCATGAGAAGTTTGGCTAACACTGACAAAAAACAAACTAACACACAGACCAAACTAAAATTGGTTTCAGTGGCAGCCTTACTGCTGTGAATAATAACAATAAATATACATTTATTTTGACAGTACTTAAAGAATGTATCCTCATTAGAATGCAGATGATCTCAGGGAAAGTTTGTCGAAAACCAGTTCACCTCCCTTCTGTTTCCAGTTTGTCACTCTTTGTGAGAACCAGGCAGACAGGATCAGGTTCTGTCGTGTGGTGTCATGAGTTCTGTTCTGACAGAGTCTGGCAGGTCATAGTACATCCTGCTCACGTCAAACTCTGTTCTGTAGGGCAGCAAGTCCAGCGGTGCAAACTCATCATTCTTTCCTGTCCACACGGTTAGGGAGTACCTGTGAAGGACATGTGAAGGACACGTTTCAACGAGTTTACAACCCTGATGTGAGTCACATTCTTTTTCTTCACACACAGCTGTGGGATAAGTTTAAAATTATTCAGTCAGAGGTTTCTGTCCACTCATCATGAACCTGAATGTCTAATTCCTTTTATACTTTTAGTAACTGATTAGAATTTTTTTCCCCCGGGTGAAATGAAACAAAATTCAACTTGAATTATTTTTAAATACAGTAAATACATTTAAATCAAAGTCAAAATTATTGCTGAAGCACATTTAAAAACAACAGGTTTTTACCCAAGTGCTGAACATTAAAATGCAAAGGCAGAGACTGAAAGGAAAAAAACAGCAACAACAATAAAACAAATTAATTTAAAGCATCAGAAGAGAATTAACATAAAACAATAGAATAGAACAACAGTAACAATAAAATACTAAATCAAATCACACTGGGTTAAAAGTCAGAGAAAACAGGTGTGATTTTAAAAGAGATTTAAAAGCAGGAAGTGAAGTGGCCTTGTCAATAAAATAATAATGTTGGGGGGCAGATTGTTCCAGAGTTTAGGGTCCACGACTGAAAAAGCCCGATCTCCTCTGAGCTTCAGCCTGGTTTTTTTGGTATAATCAAACACAACTGGTCAGATGATCTCTGCACTCAAGGAGGAACATACTGCATGTTTAAAGTAGCTCAGAGAGATATATGAGGGTGCAAGACCATTTATGCACTTAAAGGTCAACAGAAGAATTTTCAAATCAATTCTGATATGTGCAAGGAGCCAGTGAACAGAGAACAAAACCTGTGAAATATAATCAAACCTACAAGTTCCTGTTAAGAGTCGAGCTACAGCATTTTGGACGAGCTGGAGACGTGAAAGAGAGACCTGACTGACCCCAACATAAAGCGTGTTACAGTAGTCCAGTCGGGTTGTAATAAAGGCATGGACTAGTTTGTCAAGGTCAGATCTGGTCAACGCTGACTTAAGATTAGCTATCTGCTTTAAATGGAAGAAGCTTTTTTGCAGAACAAAGTTAATCTGTTTATTAAACTTAAAGTCAGAGTCTAAAACCATCCCGAGATTTGTAACAGACTTCTTAAGACATAGCTCAAGAGAGTCAAGTCAAGTCACATTTATTTATATAGCACATTTAAAACAGTAACTGTTATCAAAGTGCTTACCAAAAAAAAAAAAGATCACAGCATCAAATATTAATAACAAGATATTACAGCAACATGAATAAAAGCATAAGTCAAGTCAAGGTTTACAGGATCAGAGACAGCAGTAGAACTAGGGCTAAACACAATAACTTCAGTTTTCTGATTGTTAAAACTTGAAAAGTTCAAAGACATCCATGTCTTACTGTCATCAAGACATTTTAACAGAGGGTGAATGGAGCAGGAACGAATGGGTTTTAAGGACAGATAAATCTGACAATCATCAGCATAACAAAAAGAAAAAACATGTTTCTTCAGAATAGATACCAAAGGAAACAAGTACAATGAAAACAGGAGTGGTCCAAGAATCGATCCCTGCGGAACCCCACAGGAAAAAAGCACTGAAGCAAATAATCAATTACCAACATTAACAAAAAACGCCTGTCACTCAGATAAGAACAGAACCACTCTGTACCTGTAATCTCAACCCAGTGTTCTAACTGCGATATAAGGATTTTTTGGTAAACACTATCGAAAGCAGCAGTAAGGTCTAGGAGTACAAGTATCACAAACTGACCAGAGTCCCTTGCTAAAAAAATATTACAGACCCTTACTAAAGGTGTTTCAGTGCTGTGTTGTTTAAAACCAGACTGAAAGATCTAAAAAATTCCATTCTTAGTCAAAAATGCATTTAATTGAATAAAAACTATTTTCTCCAAGATTTTAAAAAGAAAGGGAAGTTTTGAGAATGGTTTGAAATTTGAACAAGTTAAAGGGTCAACCAGGTTTTTTAATTAATAGATTTAATTCTGCATGTTTCAAACATCAGCAATCACACTTGTAACAATACAATAGTCCCACACTACTTTGCGGTTCGACTTTCACGGACTCGCTCTATCGCGGTTTTTCAAAGTAAGATTGAACACGAGAAAAAAAATTGTACAGGACACGATTGTCAATTTTAATATGACACGTGATTGGAGCAATACTGGATACAGTAAGAGTCAGAGATTCTTTATTGTCATTCACACCATGTGGTACATGTGGTGGAGCAAAATTATGTACAAAGGGTCCCAGTTACATCCAACAATAAAATGTAAAGGAAAAACAATAACATCCAAGATGTGAACTAAGAAAAACATCAACTAAAAATACACTAAGCACTAATAGCATAAAAACATTACGTCGAACAGCAGCACGAACATGAGCATGAGTCTGTGTGAGTAGATGAGCACGTATGAACACATCAACATGAAACAGATCAGCAGCAACATGAAACAGATCAGCAGCAACATGATGTGATTTTTCACAGGGATTATTCTGGTTACAGATTCATAAGCCTCAGGGTAGAAGCTGTTCCTCAGTCTAGTGGTTCTACACTTAATGCACCTCAACCTCCTTCCTGAGGGGAGCGGGGCAAAAAGTGTGTGTGCTGGGTGAGTGGGGTCCTTCATGATGCAGGTGGCCCTCTTCCTACATCTGGAAGTGTAATGCCCCTTTTCCACTGTCACGGCACGGGTCAGATATTTCCGGCTTGACGCATGTTTGAGGTCTTTTCCATGGTTCTTGGGACCGGCTCACCTCCCAGAATTCTGGCCCGGCTTCTCAAGGGGTCCAAGCAAGCCGAGCCGTGACGTCAGAAACACTGTCCGTCACTGATTGGTCGGGGGGAGGAGTCTGTGGAGTCTTTCCAAACAACCCGATCCGCCATTTTTCTCTACCGCCTGCCATTAGTGATAACGCGAGGAGCGTATCTTTTAGTATTTTGAAGCTATACAAAAACAATAATATCAAAGCCGTGGTCAAATGCAGAAGTGCAGGTGTTGTTGTGCTTGGTGGCCGACGGAAAAAAGTCAAAGCGAGCTAGATGGAGCGATTGGAGGGTGGTTTGGACACAGCTACTGCTCTACTTGAATCATTTATAGAAGATGGTGAGTGTTTTCTAACTTTAAACATATTTTAAGTTACTCATCCCATCGGTTCTGAACATATTTTTAACTAACAAAAGAGGCTGATGTCATAATACGACATCGGTGCTAAGATGCTAAGCTAATTTGCATAAACGCTAACTGTCCTCCGGTCCTGTTTCTCACTGTATTTTATCCAGAACGTATTTCAGCGCGTGACGGTTCGTCTCTAAACTCCACATTAAACCCTCCAAGCCTCCCGGCTTCTGCTCCTGCTCCATCAGCGGAGTCTACACCTGACAGGTCTCCATCACAGCCCACCTGCACCTCACAGAGCAGCACAATGCTGCAGCCTTCTGTGCTTGATAAGAACAGATGCAACATGTTCCACATCACTTTATTTGTGCCGATAAGGACTTGCTTTTATTTTATTTTTAAAGTAAAAAAATAAAATGTTAATAAATACTGAATACGCACCACATGTTGAACATGTGGTGGGATGAAATTATATACACAGTGTCCCAGTTACAGACAACAATAAAATGTACAAGAAAAACAGTAATAAGATTTAAGATATGAACTAAGAAAAATATCAACTAAAAAACATCTACTAATAAAACACTAAGCACTAATAGCAGTAAACAATCAAAACAATACGTCAAAACAGCAACACCAACTTGAGTTTGTGCAGCCTTATGAATATCTAACCAGGAAAATCACTGTGAAAAATCACATCATGTTGCTGCTGATCTGTTTCATGTCGCTGCTGATCTGTTTCATGTTGCTGCTGATCTGTTTTATGTTGCTGTGTTCATTCGTGCTCATCTCTTCACACAGACTCATGTCCGTGCTGCTGTTCGGTGTATTGTGTTTATTGTTTTTATGCTATTAGTGCTTAGTGTATTTTTAGTTGATGTTTTTCTTAGTTCATATCTTAGATCTTATTACTGTTTTTTTTTTACATTTTATTGTTGGATGTAATTGGGACCCTGTGTACATAATTTTGATCCACCACATGTACCACATGTGGTGCGAATGACAATAAAGACTATCTGTATCTGTATAATACTTTCTGATTCATATATCCATTGTTATTATTATATTATTTTCATTATTTTTAAATTCATTTATTTTTCATTTTCTCATTTTATCAGTTTATTATTAATATAGATATTATATCTGTTAGCTGCACCTTTCTTTGTTTTATGCATTTATTAAAAAACAGTATGTAGCTTGAATTAACTACCTTTTTCTTCATTCTAGTCAAGAGAAAGAGATAAGAGTCCAGTAAAGAAAAGTCTTATTTCATCACTGAATGAACATGAAGAACTGAACCGGACACAGCAGGAACAACACTTGTGTCTTCTTCTGGATGAGCCCGTGAGACGAGGGACAGACACAATCATTAGTTGGACGCAGTATTTTTTATTTTTGTACATTTTTCACTTCTTACTTTTCCTATTAAACAATTTTTTTCTTAAGTGGTGTCCTTGAACATTAAATTTCCTAAACAAATTTTACAATGTTAAGTGCATATAGTGTTTGTTTAAATTCATACTGGAAGTTGAGAAACATTTCCAATTGCATTTGATCTTTAATGAATCCTAAGAAAAGATTACTAGAATCTGCTCAACTGTTATTATGTTATAAATCTTTTGGTTCTAGGATGAAGTGAGACAAACACAGTCAAAAATTCAGAAAAGACAGTTGTCAGTTATCATTTATCAGTTATCATTTATCAGTTATCGGACGTAAAACTGTGGCCTGAGAGATTCAGCTGAAAGTCCTGGTGCACCTTTTATTTGAACCTGCAGAGATTTGAACAGCTGATCTGAAGCAAACAGGCAGGAGTTCAACTGAACTGACCACTCCTGCTGTGTTTGATGGTCTCCTCCTTCACCATCCATCCATCCATCCACCCATCCATCCTCTTCTGCT